TCATTTTCTGAAACTAGTTGTGTGGCCCCAACTAATGCAAGGGACCTAGGAATTGAGGTGAACACTACTGACTGTCTCAGAGACTGTGAAGAAGAGCACTGTTTTGAACAATTTGGGGGAAATACGGGATTCAAGTTGCCGACACCACAAATGGAGAGTATATGGATGTCAAAAAACTAAAAGAAAATTCCCTGGTTGGGTAGAACTTAACCTGAGGGAGAAGCAGACAGGACACGGCTCATGACACAAAGATACACTAATTAGGGTCCAAGGGAGGGTGGAACTGAAAATCAGCTGGGGACAAGTACGAGATGAACAAGCCTAAAGAATTCACATAAGAAAGGAGCCTTTCTGATTGGCAGTAGTGGGAAACTGGGGGGGGGGATTGGCAGTTGAAGGAAACTGCTGCGGAGGGAGGGGCACAGCTCATCAACAAGGGTACCTGCATAATCAACGTTTGTATACCTAACCCTGAATTGTACCCCACATCTTTATAATAAAATTAAATTAAATTTAAAAAGAAAGGAACCTTTCTCCCCAGGAGTAGCACGTATGGCCACACAGCCTGTGCCCTCCACAAATCCAGAAGGTTCCCATTTACAATTCGTACAAGATCTCTGCTTCTCATCCCGTGGGGACAGGAAAAGGGGTACCTAGAAGTTAGTGATCAGCAGCCCTGCCGAGAAACAGAGTAGCTGATGACAGCTAAGATCCCAGTGTAGAAATAGAAGTCTATCCATCAGTGCATTAAAACTTCCTCCCTCGGCAAGTTTTCTGCTTCCTGTGCTCACCCCCCTATATTTCACAGAGGTTTGTTTTTCTTGGTTTCGTTGTTGTTTTTCATAAATGTCAGCCTGGCTTCCTGGATTCGGGGAAACAATTAAGCAGAAAGGTTCATTTCACAATTAGACCAGGAGAACTGAGGCCTCCTGGTGGCTACATGTGGTAGTGACCATAGCCCCTCCAGATTGAGATGCGAGAAATCTGATGGAATAAGCGAGGCAAGGTCCCAGAGACAGGAACTTGGGGTGGATAAGAGGTCCCTTTCACCTGGATTGTTCCATTGACAAGTAGACACTATTATCCCACTCCCATAATCCAGATGAGACAGCTGAGGTCAGAGGCTGAGACACATACCTAGGGGGCTGTTGACAAATATTTGCAGTCAAGTGCCCTTTTAATACACTATTAATGCTACAGCCTGTTACTAAGAGAAACCCCTCAGCATTAGTGAAGCATTCTCCTTGCCCCGTCCTTCCACAGAATGGAGGAAGATGCTGTTAGAAGCTGCCATGGTTAGTATAGAGCCTTTTTCCACAGGCTTGGGGAGCAGGGAGGTGGGAGCTGAGACCTACCTAAATTGTGAATGCCTAGTGAAAATGAAGTTCAAACATGGAAATTCATAACCGAAAATCCAGCACCCCCCTCCCTTTGTGACACTTGGTCAAAAGTGCGGGTCTGTGTCTTCACTGTCAGCATTCTGATTGATGGGAGGTCAGGCAATCCGGAAGGTTTTACTGCCCTCCCACTATCCTCTCTTAGATAAAGGGTTTTTTTCCGTGGTGGTGGAAGAGTCCTTGGGGGTACATAAACATTTTTTTGTCTCTCAAGTGGAAGAAATGCATGAAAGATTTTGAGCCAAACACAGAAGCTCTGATGCAACCTCCCATATGGAGCATAATTCCCTCTCTTCCACCCCGACAAGAAGCCATTCATTCAGTCTTTGTATAAACAGCTCCAGTAATACATAAGGAGCACACTCTGTCAAAAGACAGCCCATCGAGTTTTTAGCTCTATTTATTGCAAATATAAACCCCTGCAGGAAATTTAATCCACTCCAGCATGAGATACTCAGTGCGTGAGTGCCCATGGCCAAGTCTGAACGTGTAGCAAGGCACCCTGAGAACCAGAGAATTGTTCGATTTATATATTTTTCCTTAGCAACAGTGAAAATTGGAGGGAGTAGCAATAGGCAGAAGGAAACTTCTCTACAAAGATTCACTCTTGTTCTTCTCTCTGTTAGAAAGCCATATATAAGCACAAACCTTTCAAAAGCTTACTGTTGGCTCTAAAATAAAAGTCAAATTCCTTGGTTTGGACAGTTAGGTTTCAAATTATCTTTCTTGTCTCATTTGTTCATTAAACAAGCATTTATTGTGCACTGTGTGGCACTAAGTCAGGTTCTGCCTAATGTCTCGCTTATCTCTCTCACCTCTTGTCTCACCTCCAAACTTACTCTACCCTCCAGCCAAACTGGAACATTCACTGTCATGGAGCAAAGCTGGGTCAATACACAGATGGGCCAACTTCCAGGTCAGTGCCCTTTTCACTACACCATGAGCCCACATTCAGGTTTAAGCTCACTCATTCTACATTTTCATGGATATGCTAATAAATTAACTAGACAACGTCCAACAAGTACGCATTACAGTGGCGTTTTTGTATTTCTTGATGCATTTGGAGCTATTCTTGTCTTGTGAGTCAGAAATTTCAACGAAGCATCACCTCTAGGGAAAGCAGAAATGCGGAGGGCCCCCCGGGATGTAAGTTCTGAAAGTGAATTCGTCATCGCCATTAAATCTTTTGGTAATCTTCATAGTCACAAGGACACATAAAATAACTTCGGGCTTGTTTTCGCTGTCAAATGTAGGATCGGAACAATTGCTTGTGGAATCTGATTCTGGGCTCTGGAAACGTCTCGCATCCTAACCAGTCTACTCCCACCTGCTGGCGACTGCTTGAACTTCCAGTCAAGCCCACTTAACACTGAACGCACACTCTTCCGGGCATAGGCAAACCTAGAAATATGATTTCTATCTTGGCCTTTGCTACTATGTGACTTTGAGCCGATTCCTTTTCCTTCTTTGGGCCTGTTTCCCTATGTTACCATCCAGTTGATTGGACAAAATGACCTGGACTCGCCCTACCATTTTTGCCAAGCAAGGGTTATCTCTACAAGGATGTCTGGGTGACCAGACATGATACTCAGTGATATATGGTTCCCATCATCTTTTTTTTTTTTTTTTTGCTTGCTACAATGACCAGGGAAAGAGGGGAGACGGGAAAGGAAGGCGTGAGGGTGCAACTGCCAAGAGGAGGGCATACCTCATCAACAAGAGTGCTTGCATAATGAACATTCATATACCTAACCCTGAATTGCACCCCTACATCTTCAAAATAAAACATTAAAAAAAAAAAAGAAGGCAGGAAGCTGGGCTCGGTGGCTCAGCCTGTAATCCCGCGCCTTTGGGAGGCTGAGGTGAGTGGATTGCCTGAGCCCGTGGGTC